AAAAAGGAAAAAAAAAAAAAAAAAAAAAAAAAAAAAAAACAACCCATGTTGAGGGCTGACCCCGTGGCGCACTTGGGAGACTGTGGTGCTGGGAGTGTAGTGGCGCTCCCGCCGCAGGTTCGGATCCTATGTAGGGATAGCCGGTGTGCTCACTGGCTGAGTGCGGTGCAGGGGACACCAAGCCAAGGGTTGTGATCCCCTTACCGGTCACACACACACAAAAAAACATGTTGACATTCACTGTCTGTACCGAAGATTTCACAGTTCCTTCTTCTCAGATTTGGGACCTATTAACCCTAAGAGAAAATTATTTGTCCTAACTCATGGGAGACCATCATCAAGCTTCTCCGATGGCTACCTCATCATTATTTTTGAGTATTTTGCAGCTCTTAAGAATAAAATAAAATGTGATATAGTTAACAGAATTAATAGTTCATCAAGTTAAGCTTGTTATGGACATGCTGAAACACAGTATGTGTTATAGTCTATGATAATATAATCAGAAATAATAGAAAAAAATCTCACCGAATTTCAATGAACTTGAAAAAATAACTTTTTTTGGAAAACTGTATAGTATGGACTATTACTTGTTTAAAATATTACCCACCACTAAAATTTTAGGAATTAGTACTTTTAAAAATAAGAATTAAAAAACCACAACCCTAATTAAATGAGTGATTTAGTTATTTGCTGATATGTAACAGTTACTGTAAAACTTGGAGGACTATAACAACCATAAACACCACGTTAACAAATTTTTTTGGATAAGGAACTTGGGAATGTCTAACATGGGCAGTTCTGGCTTGGGGTCTCTCCTGAAGTTTTAGTCACCATGTCAGCTGGGATGGCAGTCATCCAACTGAAAGACTTAACTGGGACTGGAGGATGTTTCTGAAATGGATCACTTACATAGCTACTGGCAGGCCTCACTTCCTTACCTTGTGGACTTGTCCATAAGGCTGCTTGAGTGTCCTTTCAACACAGCAGCTGGCTTCCCCCAAAGTGAGTGATTCAAGAGAAGGCAAGGTGGTAGCCACAGTCAGTCTTGGAAATCACATACCTTCATTTCTACAAAGTCCTACTGGCTGCACAGGTAAAACCTATTCAATGTGGGAAGGGACTAGAAATGGTCATGAATACAAGGAGGCAAGGATCACTGGAGGCCATTTTGGAGACTAGCTGCCACAATGAGTAAAATCTTTCACTACATTATAAATAAGAAGTGCTGGTGGGTTAGCTCAATTGGTTAGAGCATGGTGCTGATAATACCAAGGTCAAGGAACTGGCCAGCCACAAAAACAAACAAATAAACATGGGGCTCTCTGGTTAGCTCGGGTGATTGGGGTTTGATCCCCTGGACCTTGGTGTTATCAGCACCACATTCTAAAACAAACAAACATACATTATAAATAAGGAAATGACAGAAAAATGATAATTTTTCTCTTGGACAAAACTTTCTAAAGAATATATATTTTTTCAAATTCCCAAGTTATTTGATTCTGCCAACAAAGGAATCTTCCCACTTACTTTATAATCATGCTATTATACTCCACAGGTTGGGAAGAGAAGATATCTACTCAATAAGCTTGAAGCTATAAATTAATTTCTTACCGACCACCATCAGTGTGAACTCAAAACCTTTTTTCACTGATTTTCGGTGAACTTGATTGGGAAGATTTGCAAATCCAACATAGCCAGGAGTTTCCGGATTTATAAACTGAGTTGGTTGTTGCTAAAATAAGATTTAAAAAGAAAGAGCTGATAAATACCTTATTAGTTGCTTTAAGATATAATCAGTTAGACCTGTGACAAACATAGGTATCAGTAGTTCTCACAAATTAATAAAAAAAACAGTATTCAATTAAGAGCATTAAAAGAAGAAAAACCAATCTAGTGTAATTCCTTAACTATATGCTGACCTAGAATGAACATTTTGCTAATCAATATTCTGCTTAGCAATTTAGCAATACATAAAAGATAACATTCTTAATTCATCTCAGTGCAATTTCAAATTTTGAATTGAGAAACTATGGAGTTACAGGAAAATCAGTCAAGCTTACAAAGTAGTGCCACACCTGACAGTGATTTCATTCAACAAACTTAGCTAAAGAACAGCTTCCAGTTATCGGGTGTGATGCTCATGTGACAAGAATCCAGGAGGAAGGCTTCTTTCTTACCATATAGAAGAGAGCTTCACCAAGGGTAAGGCAGGCAATTTAGGGGTGGAATGTTAAATATCTATGTTCAAAGGTCAAGAAAGAAAAGACTAAGACTGAGAAGGAGATCACAGCTGACTACACTTAAACATCAATGTCCCCTGACAGCTTCTGTACCTGATAAGAGAGAAGACAGGCGGAGACATGATAAAGCAAGCACAGTAAAGCAGAGCCAGAATCTAGGTCGTGGATACTAAAAATGAGGAGAGATTTTTAGCAAAAGGCAAAAACACAGAATAGTACTTCCTTTAGGATTATGTTTTGCAGATGAATATTCACACACACTGTAAAAGAATATACATAAAATGTTAACGGTGGTTATTTCTAGGTGGTGAAATAATGGCTGACTTTTATTTTCTTTTTTGTTTATCTGTGTTCTGCACTCATACTGTATAAAAATCAAAAATTGGTATGGTGAGTTTTCACTCTGGATAGTAACGAACACCAACAGACTCAAAAATAACAGGCAAAAACAAATAATAACCTCACAATTTTAACCAAAAGTTCTGCTTTTCTCAGCACATGTCCTTTAGAACTATTTTATTTCATGGCTCTGAGTTAAACGTGCAAGGCTGATCTAAACCAATTTATCGAGTCTAGGAGCCCCATCGATTTCATCATGATAAATTATCAGAATTTTAGGTTATTATTTGATTGGTCGGCTGGGAATAATCTAAGGAGACTAAATGGACTTTTATTGATGTATTTAGAAAAAAGAAAATATAAACCTGAAAAAAGAAAAAGCTCTAAGCATTTAGGATGATGATTAAATTAGAACTCTTTTTTGTTTTTTTTTTTTCCTTTTTGTCTTTTTTCGTGACCGGTAATGGGATCGCAACCCTCGGTGTCGCACCCGCACCGCGCTCAACCAGTGAGCAGACCGGTATCTATATGGGATCCGAACCCTTGGCGGGAGCGCCGCCGTGCTCCCAAGCACCGCACTCTACCGAGTGCGCCACCAGGCCGGCCCAGAACTCTTTGTTTTAATGAATCAAATAGATTAATTGTATTAAAAATAATGAATCATATAAATCTTGACTGTAAAAGCCTGAAAACACAAGGCAGTTTTCTCCTTATACTGTAGATAAATGATGAAGTGTGTTCTTACCTTAGACATCTTTTGTGAAGATTCGTCTGTAAAAAAAAACAAAAACAACACATATCTATGTACGTATATACACACATATTTAACAGCCTGAATTGACCCATAAAAAGACTTGCACATAAGGCATCGACAGCTTGTTTCACTTAGTTTCTCAATTAACTCGAGTACTTCCTCAGAAATAATGAAACAATCATCCCTCATTAAAAGATAAATTAGACTTAAAAAATTAGAAGGTGCTGAAATCAACTGTATATGCATATGTGAACATAAATACATTCCATATTTTAAACAATATTCTGACTTTTCTTTCAGTACTGACTATATATTAGGCACAAGGGAACAATGGGAGAAAAAGACAAACTTCCCTGACCTCTAGAATTATGTGATTTCTCTTGTCTTTGAAACCTTTCAAGGAGGAAGGGATGCCATTACGCAGAGCAGTGTAACCTAACGTGTTTTATTTTGTTTTTACCGTAAATCGCACCTTGGCTGATATTATCTCTCTCCTACTCTACATCTGCACTAGCCTGATATCTCTCTCTCAGCCTGTCCCTTTATTTTCAGCTTTTTTCCCTGTTTTTGTTTTAAGCATATTTTTCCCACAGAGCATATACCATCTGTTAGAGGTTTCTAGAACTACCTGAGAACTAGATTTCCAAAATGGGGCACAGTGAGCAATGTGAATAACATTTACAAGTGTTTACCTGAGTGTTTGAGAAGTATGATGATAGTTTTAGAGATATCTGGAATTTCTATACAAATTTTAGAAATCCTGAAGCTCTGAGAGTCATGGAGTCTGTTGGCTAACCTTGGTAACAAAGTGAAGTGATATGTCTGCAGTCAAATTTGATTCCCTCTGGAGCTTAGAAGCTTATTAGAAAGCTTCTTTCTCTGTCTCTCCATTTTTCCCAAACCTTAACATTCCTGAACATTGCACACCCTGAGTTTCCCTTTTGAATGGAAATGTTCACAACTACCTTTGAAGAAATGAGGTCCCCATACCCCCAATGTATTTTGCTTAATTAACCAAGGTACGACAGCAGAATTCAGGAGCCTTTAACTCTGTGGTGTTATATCTCCCAGAAGATCACGGTTACAGTCTCAACGCTCCTTTTTAGTGGCACACTGTAATCCTTATTCTCAGGAAATGTAGGAAACCTGGTAAAAATAAGAGTTTACACAGGAGAAGAAGGGACAAATGGAGGAAAAGAAAAAAATAATAAAAAAGAAAATTTTCCTGAGAAGAACAAAGACCAGAATCTATACATTAACTATCTGGGATTGAGTAACATAGGAATGAATGAAGGTCTCTTGAATAGAAAGGACATCTTAGGGAAATTCTAGTAACAGTCTAGAACTAAACATATTAAACAACCTCAGCAAAACCTAAGAGTTGGGGGCAGGAGTGAGTAGAGAAGTAAAACTTTCGAAAGGGAGAGGTAAGAAGATAGATGGAATGTAGATAGTTTTGGCAGAAGGAGTGACACCTTATTTTCAATAATAAAGAGGTAAGTGTCTGATTATGAAAGAAAAGGAAAAGTAACCATTAAAGAAAAATCACAGTGGAACTTCCAAATTAAGAGAAAAATATGGAATAGATAGCAACTTGAACAAACCAGCAAAAATATGGAAAAGGAACAACAGGAACAAAATCATCAGTAATCCTAAATAATGACAAAAGGATAAAATTCAAGAACATCTGTCATCAGTATAAATGTGAAAACCAAATTCTCTCCTTTAAAGAGATGACAGATTGGGTTAAAAAACAAACAGCCCAGGGCCGGCCCGGTGGCGCACTGGATAAGTGCACCGCACGCGGCAGCGCTCCCACCGGAGGGTTCAGATCCCACATACAGACCGGTTCCCGCTCACTGGCTGTGCGAGGCGCGGGAGCAACACCGAGGGTTGCAATCCCGTTGCCGGTCCCCGGTCCGGTACGGGGGCAACACTGAGGGTTGCGATCCGTTGCCGGACACGGAAAAAGACAAAAGACAAAAAAAAAAAAAAAATTTTATAACAAAAGTGGCCAACGTTATGCTAAAAAAACTTAAAACATTATTTTCTTCTGTTATTTTCCCCCACATGTATGGCTTAGAACTCCTTATCATTAAAAGAATCCCTTTTTGAAAATTTAGAAAAATGCTAAAGTCACATGACCATGCAACTTTTAAAAAAACTTAGAGATGTCTTTTTTTATATTGGGAAGAAATAAGTTTAAAACAAATTAGTAAAGAAAGGCTGAAAATAAAAGGGCCAGGTTAAAAGATACCACCAGGCTAGTGCAAACAGAGCAAGAGAGACACTATGATCGGCCAAAGTAAAAAGAACTGAACTAATATAGGGACATTAAGTGATAAGACAAACGGAACAACTTATAAGGAAGATATAACATTCATAAGGCTGTATATTCAATTAATTACTGCAGATAAATACATAAAATGAACTAGGAAAAACACAAGGTTAGCTTGAACTTTCATAGACTTCTCTTAGAACAGGACAGACTCAGTAAATACAGTATGAGCAAATGCAGAGAGGGACTGAGAAATACACCGACAGATTTGATTTAACAGATATAGGGAAACCTGAGTCAATGGAATGAATACATTTTGAAAAAACGTTTAAAAATCAAGAAAGTCTAAATGAATTCTGAAGAAAGGGATTTTTACAGTTTATGTTATCATATGATCTGTTTAGATAAAAAGTAACTCTCCAAAATATGAAACATTCTTGGATCAAGGAAGGTAACAAAAGCAAAACCACTAGCTATCTCTAGAAAGCAATGGAAAAACAAAAAGCAAAATTTATGACACACAGTAAAAGCTTCATAAACTCAGGTGAGAATTTGCGTTTTACATATTTTTCATCAAAGAACAATGAAAATAAAGAAATTTGATACTCAACAATATTAGGAAATAAACAACATAACTCAAAAGAAAACAGGAAATTAATAAGAAAACAGGAAGAAATTAATAAAGAGAAAAACCAAAATTATGAGAAAAAAAGCAGGGTAAAAAATCTAAAAGCTGGTTCTCTGAAACAAACTCCTCACAAGCCCAGTTGAGGAAAAAAAGAGCAAACATAGAAAAGAAGGTACAATCACAGACACAGGAGACTACGTGTAGCAAGACAGCCACAAATTTGAAAATGTGGAAGAAATGAACAATATACCAGGCACTGTAAATTACAAAATGGAACCCAAAACTGGAAAACCTGACAATACTAATGAACAGCGGATCAAAGACCTACCAATGAAAAGGGACCAAGATCAGATGGGAGTTAGAACTGAATTCCATGTAACCTTGAACAGATAATGCCAATGTCATTTAACTATTCCAAGCCACTACAGAAAATGGGAAAGCATTCCAATATATTTTGTGAAGACAGCACAGTTTTAAATACAAACCCTCATGGAGAAGGAAGGAAGGAAGGAAGGAAAGAAAGACGGATGGAAAGACGGACGGAGGGAGGGACCTGCTTTAGGTCAGTCTCACTCGTGACTATAAATGCAAAATTTTTAAATAAAATATTTGATACCAATTAGATTACAGAAATGCATCAAAAGCATCTCTCGATATAAGCCATTACAACAAATTAAAGGAGAAAACCATGCACGAATAGATGCTGATAAGGCATATAATAAAATTCAGCAAGCAATCCCAATACAAGAAACACTAAGTAAGGAAATTGCTTAAATATAATTCAGGGTATTTCTGAAAACCAATGGCAAATGCTCTTCTCTAAACAAAGGAATGCTAAATCTATTTAACTTACAATCAGTAATTAGGCAGGAATGCCCATTACAAACATAATTATTTTAAAACACTTATGAATAATTTCAAACATATGCAAAACAAAAGCATACCAACAAAACCCCTACGTCCCATTATCCAGACTGGTTAGCAAGTCAATGCCAATACTGTTTCGTCTCTCTCCACACCCACTCCCTTTGCCCCTAGCTTACTGTGAAAGAAATAATAGATATAACATTTCATTTATATTTCAGTATGCATATTTAAAAAAAGGGCTCCTTAAAATGACAAACCGCGATCCATACTTAGGGAAAATTAACAATAGTTCTTTAATGTAATCAAATATCCAATCAATACTCATATTTCTCAACTGTCTTTTTTTGTTTTGAATCGGGATTCAAATAAAATCCAGACATTGCAATTTCACCATTATTTTATACTACCTTGGTGAGTTTAGTGAATGCAGTAAAACAAAAAAACAAAATAAAACCTTTTTTTGCTGAGAGAACTGAATACTCAGAAAACACAAATACTTTGGTTAAAAAAAAATTCTAGAATAAGGAGTTAGGTGGCTGGATACAAGACAGATATAAAATAAGTCCAAAGTTCCTTTCTGTACTAGCAATGAATATCAAGGAATGGAAATGAGGGGAAAACGTCATTTAGAGTTTTTAAAAGATCCAAATACATAGGAACAAATTTAGAAAGAGAGAAAAAAGGTTCTACAGGAATGAAATCATTATTACTATCCTCAAATTAGTACTGTACATAATTTGGTCCAATTCTAATTGGAATCCCTAATGGTGTGGCTTTTTTTTTTTTTTTTAAAGTATTGGATAAAATGACCTTCCAGTTCAAAAGAAAGGATAAATGCCTAAGGATACAAAAGAATGGGCAGTTGCCTTACCAGCTATTACGTGTATCTAATTTCAAACCAACACAGGAATAGTATGACATAGGAAAAGCATGGAGTGCCTCTCCTGCCACTCCACAGACCTCTCATCCTCACAGAACCCTGGGCTTCTTTCTGGCCACTGTGAGGACCCCGTGTGCATTCTGACTAACTTCATTTGAGCACCCTGAGAGTGTTGCACCTCCTGCCCGTCCATGATCCCTTTACTCTGCTCAGTATGACTGAGGATGCTTCAAAGGAGAGAGAGGTGACTCTCACCCCTCCCTATCAGTTTTTGCCTACTCAAGACCTATGTTAATGCACAAGTATGGAAAAATGGAAAATACCATTATTGGAATGGGTTACAAATTCTTTAAAGACCTATCAACCTTGCTTCGATTTTACTTTAATTAAATTTTAATTAAACTTTACTTTTCTTGCCACCTCCTATTTCTTTCATATTCAGTTTTTTCCTGAAACATAATTTGGCTCCACAATGATTTTCTAACAATTTATGTTATTAACCAATGTAAAATGAAAGTTGGAAGAGGAATATTGAACCTCTGAAGAACTTGGCTTTCAAGTGAGAAAACCTTGAACCAGCAAGACTGCCAAGCACTATGATTAATTTAAAACTTGCAGGGTGCAGACCAACTGTATCCATCAAATCTCAGGAATGTGGTCAAATGAAAATTTTATTCTTTCAGATTGTACTCATTCCAGATGCTGGAAGTTGTTTAAAATTTCTTTATCCTTGACCCACAATTTCTTTCTTCCACAGAGCAATACTCCCACCCCATTTCACATATAAGAAACCAATTTTCCCAAAGCAAAAGATGGGAAATGAAGAACAGATGGATAAAACTGGGTTCTTGGCAATATAAACTTATTTTGCTAGTGGCATTTATATTTGTGGAACATGTATAAACAGTAGCTACCATTCACTGACATGCTGATGGACCGCACATCCGACCATGGTTGGAGCAATAGCCTAGGTGTGTAGTAGGCTACACCATCTGGGTTGTGTGAGTACACCCTGTGATTTTCACACAACGATGAAATTGCCTAATGACACATTTCTAAGAACATATCCCCATCAGTAAGCAACACATGACTATACTTGTATTTACATACATTATCCTAAATCCACAAAATGACCCTGCAATGTAGGACCCTGAAGGTCCATAATCCCTTACCCAAAGTGCTTGAGATGTTTTGGAATTCAGATTCTTTAGATTTGAGGAAGGTACACGTACAGTATACCACATAACACTCTCAACAAGGTCTGGAGCAGCACCCCATAGTCAAATGCACTTTCTGTAGTGACAAGTATGACCATAAGAAAAAATGGGAAAAATACAGACTGTGTAAATGGTCTCACCTCAATTTTGCTACCAAATGAGTTTTGGTGTCCCCTTCCCTCCAGAAAAACAAACAAACACACACCACTTTTCCTTTTACAGCAGTGTCTGTATTTCGGAATTGGGAATGAAAAGGGACCTGAATCATATTTATGAATAACGATAGAGAGGGGGCCCCACCCTCTTTCCTTAGGTTACACTGCTAGTTTAAGAGCCAGTCAGAATGTAAACCTGATCTGACTGAAAAGCTTTTGTTCTTTACTCTGGGCTGAGGCACAGTTGGCAGAGATCAAAGTAGAAAGTGGAAAAAAAGTTATCAGGACAACTTTTACAACTAAGGAGATTATTGCCAAGATTAGATATAACAACACACATTGTGAGTTAAGATGCTGGGTGGTGCAAAGAGTCCCTGAATGAGAGCTAAAAAAAATAATCACTGAAAATAATGAACTACAAAGTAGAAGCATCAGGAAACAGCTTTCATGACTTCCACACCATCATATTTCCCTTATCATGGCGAGGCTACTTTGTAACATTAAGTATACCTTGATATATTATGATGATTTGACTCATTCAAGAAGTAGTTGAGAACCTACTATGTGCTGGTCACTTCCTAGGCAATGGGTAAGGGCGACAACACATCCCCTGCCACTCGCAAAACTAATCCAGCCTGGAGAAAAATCTCATCTGGGCCGAATCCTGAATAACAAGCCAGGGCAGGGACTAGACAAGCAAAAGAGAGATGGTGGGAGGCAACAACGTTCCAGACGGAAGGAAGGGTTTGGGCCAAAGGTGCCAAAGGTCACAGCAATGTGCACTAAGAGAAGTTCCGTGTCTGCGGTGGGAAAGGACAGACACGGACAGGGTGGTACCGACAAAAGGTGAGGCCGGAAAGGTGAAGAAGGCAGGTGGTGTCGGGGCCTGCGGGTCACGTCAGAGCTGAGACTTCCTGGGACAACGGTGGCCGCAGACTTGCCTCCCACCCCCGGCCCTGCTCAGGGCGCACCCCCACGCCTCCGAACCCAGCCCCTGCGGTGTGTCTCCCCCTGGCTGGCGCTGCCCTTTGTCCAGCGTCGCCTCGCCTCGAGCAAGGCAGGCCCACCGCACAGACAGGGCCTTCTCGTCCCCTCCCGTGTGCCAGCCGGGCCCGACAGATCGGCTCGGGCGGGCTTTGGAACCGGCAAGCTTGGTGAGCGTCCCGGGGTGGCCGGCACGTCCCCCGCACCTCCAGGACGAAACGGCACCGTCGAAGAATGACATGGCGGCCACGCACCTCTAAGAGCTCGACGGCCCTGGAGCCGCAGCTTCCCTCCACGCCCGCTCACACGTCCCCGACCCAGACAGCACTCGACCCCCGCAGGCCCAGTATTCGGACTGGGCCGGGGAATGCCAAACGGCCAGCACGGGTCACCCGGATCCCCCAGCCTCGCGCCCGCAGACACAGGGCCCAGCCGCCCCTCCCCCACGCCCACGCCCTCAGGGCCGCCGNCGCCCGCAGGGCCGCCGACCACCGCCTGAGGGTCCGAGGCGAGCGGGGCGGCCCACGCACCTCGGCGGGAGGCCCTGCCCACACCTCGTGCTCCGAAGCGGCGGGGACCAACGGCGGCACACTCACCCACCGACCAGCCGCAGAAACGTCGCCGACCGACCGCGCCACGAACCCGCCCAGAGCCCGCGGTCAGCTAGCGCCCCGCCTCGCCCCTGCGCGCAGGCGAATAGCGTCATCACGTCGCCCCGCCCCTTTGCCAACTCCTTCCGGGCCCAGCGCGGCTCTGACACCAGCCTTCCTCCCCTCCCCCATGTGGCCGGTTTCCGAGTGCGCAGGCGCAGGCTCGTCCGCGTTGTCCGCTTCTGCGCAGGCGCCGTGCCCCTCCCACGGCGGTTGGCCATATAGAGGCTGGGGGTGGGGGGGAGGTCAAGCGTAGCCGCTTCTCCTTTACCAAGATGGCGGGTCCTCTCTGTTTCGCCACAGTTCCTACCTTGTGAGCTTGGTTTCCTTACGCTACTAAGAGTGGAACAGGTAATGAGATTCTTCGCCTTGTGGGTAGAGCGGGGGGAGGGCGCTTCTTTTGAGGGGACCAGGTGACCACTGAGAAGAGACGCGGTCGGGGGAGGGCAGGTGTTGGGTGAGTGAGGAGCAGCCACGGGGAGGGGAGCCTTCGCCTCTGGTCCTCTCCTCCGGGAAGATGGCGGTAGCACCGCGCGCCGGAGCGGGACCGGGCAGGGGGCGGCGAACCGCCGCGCGGGGCTGGTCTAGCTCGCCCGCCGTCATGTCGATGGTACGGGGGGCCTCGCCGGGATTGGCCGCGCGCGGGTCACGTGGGTTGGCCCCCCCCTCCCGCACAGACCATAGAGTTGGGCGTCCGTCCCCGGGGACGTGGCCTTCCAGCGCCCGGGCTGGGGCCCGCCGCCCCGCGGGGGAGGGCGGAGCCGGCTCGGCCCCTGTCCTCTTCCTTCTGGTTTGGGTCCCGAGGTGAGACCTGGGGAGCGCCCTGCGAGCCCCCTCGCAGCGCCGTGGCTCGGGGGACGGGGGTTGCCGCGCCCGGCTGCGGCCTGACCGGGACGGGCGCGTCGGCTTCGGCCCGCGGTGGGTACCGCCGGCCCG